TGAAATGGACTCAGGCTGGAGTGCAATGCATGATCTCGGCTCACTGAAACCTCCACCTCCTAGGTTCAAGCAGTTCTCCTGCCTCAGCCTCCAAAGTAGCTGGGATTATAGGTGTGTGCCACCACACCCAGCTAATTTTTGTATTTTTAGTAGTGACGGGTTTTTGCCATGTTGGCTAGGCTGGTCTCAAACTCCTGACCTCAAGTGATCTGCCCACCTTGGCCTCCCAAAGTGCTGGAATTACAGGCGTGGCCACCGCATCCAGCCTCCTCCTTGATTCTTCACGTTTTCCTTATACTGTCACTGCGTGGGTTCTACATCAGAAAAAGATGAATAAACCAGGTATGGTGGCTCAATCCTATAATGCCAGCACTTTGGGAGGCCAAGGCAGGAGGATTACTTGAGCTCAGGAGTTTGAGAACAGCCTGGGTAACATGGTAAAACCCCGTCTCTACAAAAATACAAAAATTAGCTGGGTATGGTGCATGCCTATAGTCCCAACTACTCTTGAAGGCTGAGGTGGGAGGATCATGTGAGCCTTAGAGATCAAGACTGCAGTGAGCCTTGATTGTGCCACTGCACTTCAGCCTCAGCAACAATGTGAGACCCTTTCTCAAAAAAAGGAAAAAAAAAATAGAATGTGGCCCTAAGGAGATATCAAATTGATGTGTAAAAGAAGCTTTTCATTGTTCAAACCATATTGCTAAGTGAGAAAAGCAAAGTACAGATTTGTATAGAATCTATGACTTTTTTTTTCGTGTAAGATGGAAAGACTTGTATAGTAATGTAATTGACCACCGGGGACACAGAATAATGAGCAAAGGGAAGACACAATTCTATGAGGATAATACTATACTGCAAATTTCACCTTCTGTTTTTACTTATACATTAAATTATTTATTTAGAGACAGGGTCTTACTATGCTGCCCAGGCTGGCCTCAAACTCCTATGCTGAAATGATTGTCCTTCCAAGCCTCCCAAGTAGGTGGGTGGATACAATTTTTCTCTACCTTGGTATTGTTCAATTTTTTCTTTTTTTTTTTTTTTTTTTTTTTTTTTTTTTTTTTTTTT